TTGATTGTTCCACTCGTGAAGGTGGTGACCTGATCTGGCGTGGGTGGTGCGAACTCGAGTGAGCAAATTCCGATGTTTTTCAGCGAAGGTCGGCACCACGTGGAACGCGGTTCTTGATTTGAACCTTATGGCGGGACCCCAGGGTCCCGAATAAACGGAAGTCAAAATTATAATTAATTTATTTTTGGTGTGACTCCGTCCCACCGCGCACATAAACGTCGCGACCCACCTGGCGCGGATCATTCTGTTGTCGTTGTCGTCCAAGCGCAGCAGCAGCGAGGACTAATGCGCAGAAGAGCTGAACACGCGAATCCACTCCATACTCGGGTATGGGCAGGATCATAATAAGTCTTATCCAAAGCTGCTCAAACTGCCTACACGACTTAAGTCCTTTATTTGTCATAACGGTATGCATAATAATACAGTGAAACTGCTCTCTTATCTTTATTATTATTATTATTTGTGACCTACCAATGTCTGCAGCTAGGATCAACCGTTGACAATCCTATTACCTGCAGATATTTAACAAATGAGATGCGTTGCACCGTTAATTCCTCCTGTTTGATAATACTTCTCTTGTCCGTATGCATCTGTGCAGATAGGTTTTTTTGCGGTTAAGCCATAGCCCCCACATACCGCTCGTATCAATGTGGATAAGAGGAGCGGCGACCCACTCCTCTGTAGAGTAACATTGGTATAAACGCTTGTTACAATATTAAAAGCGCATTGAAAACGCGTACTATTTTATGTACTGTTTACAAACTGTGTTCACAAATCCACACTGATAAACACGATGATTGACAGAGGGGTGTAAAAAAAATTCGATAGTGTATTTAAATGGAGGTACTGCAGGTAAGTAGTTTTCAGTTTTAAAGGCATAGTTTAACAAGACAACACTTTCCACAATCCTTCAAACCCATTGGTCAAAAAGAGCAAAATTTTTGTTTACGTTATATGTTTATGCGAGAGCCTGGGGGCTTATAGGACCCAGGGGTCCTGCCATAAGGTTCATTTGACAATTGCTCTCTACATACACAACAGGCAGGGCCCCTATCTGAAGAATCAAACTGGAGACACAATTGAGCACACCTGAGGTCACGTCGAACATATTTAACCTGCCGTAATCACATTTGAGTTAAAATTAAAAGATGACTCAATTATTTTTTTTAACAAAAGTTCATTCAAAGGTAGTGTTCTAATTGGAAACAGATGTGTCCTATCTTGACAATTCCGATATGCTTTGGAACACACACCACGTTGTAAGTTGCACATTGTACGAAAGACATTGCAGATGTAAACTGAAGTTGGCAGGAGTTCATACTAAGACCATTCTGTACGGGTGGTCTTAGCAATTATCAATGGCTAAGTATCTTATTTCCTTGTTTAGTTAAAACAATCGCGAGGACTGTTATCAGATGCCAAAATGACCAACTCCATGGATATTAGAGCAGTGATTTTGTAAACTCATTCTCGTAATCCCATCATTATCCAGCTTGTCGTGTGTATAGTTCTTGTACAAGCTCATGTACAGCCTGTGGTCATCCACTGCTAGATGAATTCCTCCCCAAATGTCGTGTCACGTGTGGGGGTTGTTTGAACATACTTCAGCACACCGGTCAGTGTGGCTTGGCGAAAGCAGTGAGAGTAAATGTGGGATCATAGAAATATAGTAGACCAGTGGACTTTGCTGCACTGCATTCTGCTGCCTACCACGTGGTCCCATGATCCTTGTGAAAACGATATTCTGATTGACTTGTGAATCAGGTAGCCCGTGTGACAGACAGGTTACACAATCAGTCGGTCGAGGATGGCACTTTTAGAAGAGGTGAAAGTGCCGTGTATTATTCATGCAAATAAGAGGTGTGTTTAATATAATCTACGCTTTGATGTAAATTGCACATTTCGCTACGCCGATAACAAAATCACCCAGAGTGCTCTCGATCTCATCAGATTAAGGAAGCTAAGCAGTTTGGAGCCTGGAAAGTGCTTGGAAGGGTGTTCACCATGCACAAAAGATGTATTAAAAGGCATTGTGGGCAGTAGAGAACAGTGCAGCAACATTCATTATTCAGCACCCTTACCACCCAGCTCACTAACCCAAAGTAACCAGCGGTGTTCAGCTTGGTTAAAACATCCCTCATTCAGCAGTGGAGTGACAAAAACGGACTGAATGTGTTACGTGCAGCTTTGTTCGTGGCAGCTATGAAGGTAAGCATTTTGGAGACCGGTTAAAAATTGTGTAAAATGGGCCACGGGTTCACATTTTTTAAGTATTATGAAAACATGTTACTGTGCTTATATTTAACGTTTAACGCAGCCGCAGTGCAATACAGTATGCTCAGCATTATGAATGGCATTTCCTTACCCCTCCCTGTGTCGCAAGGCTAACCGCTGGCTGCGAGCAGACAGTCCAGTGTTTTTTTTCGTTGGTTCTCTCAGAAAATCCTCCTGAAATATTATTGATGTATGGGCATTGCAGCGGCGGCGAACTGGCCAGCAATGACATTGCACGATGAACCCGGCGACTTGATTTTCACTGCCGGCCTCGGCCAGCCCAATATCGTCACACAAACTGCGGTCCTCCTAACCATCGAACAAAGGACGGTCACCGCTATCGTGCGCTTTCAGGTGCGCTTCTGCGCAGCCGTCTGGAACGCTCTTCCTTCCAATATTAGGAAGCCACTGGGAGCTATATGCACTTTTAAATTTAGTTTGGAAAAAAAAAAACTAATTTCTTTTTAGAACTGCTCTTTGTGTGTTTGTTCGTTGTCCTTCCCCCGCACCTCCGATGAGCGCGGTTGGCTTACGGTACTGTTGCAAAAGAAGTTCAACACACGGTGTATAGACAGATATCAGAGGCGATCGATGTGTAAAACGGTGCTGGCTCTCACTTCACCAACGCGCACGGACCAGCGTGAAGAAGTACTACGGGGCAGTCTCGTCGGCTTGTGAACCTAATTCGCTCCTGAGATATGTACGTAAGTCGAGGACGTCCCGATGGGAAGTCCTCGACTTACGGTAACCCCCCTCCCCACCACCGGCACAGAGGAGGCCTTCATCCATCCAGCTGCGGGTTTACAAATGGGATGCAAATTGTTCATGGATGGATGTGGACGAGGGCTGTTAATTTGCCATACGTCGAAGTCACACCACCGCGGTGCCGATGGAATGTTACAAAAAGGATGTGACATTGCAAGCAAATGAAACATGTTACGTCAACGGTCAATACATTGTTTGGATATTGTAGCGACACAAATGTGTGTACTTACGCAACATGTATTATTACCAATAATAGTTTTGTTTTCGCCGTTGGGCGGGTCTAATGATGCATGAGACGTGAAATTAACTTCTAAAGCAGTGTCTGTCTCCACTCGAGGTTGATGTGAGCACCTTCATGGTAAACACAACTTGTAAATAATGTAATCAAACAACAATAATATAAAAAAAAGACTTCGCATATAGGTTTAACATTTCACTGGCTGGGAAGCGATTCGAGTGAACAAGTCTATTTTGCAAACGATAACCTGAATCAACCAGAGTTCACCATTACGGACTTGAACAAAAGTTAGCTTAATTAAAGACGAACTAAAGACGAACTTTAATTAATGCCATAGCTAAAGAAAACGAAACACGTATATTGCAATAAGGATAAAGACACTTATATATTTTTGTTTTAAAAAAACACGAGAAAGTGTTTCTTGGCAGATGCCTAAACTTCACAAACTCTTGAAAAATAGCAAGAAACAGCTGCGTCCATTGCATAAGCCACTGTACAGCCTGGTGCCGGCTCCGCTTCTGTTCACAGTCCCCCTTGTCCGCAAGCGGACGCCGCCTCTCGAGTCTGTTGAGACGCCAACAGCCACGGAGGGTTTAGCAACTCACCTTCAGCGCACCGACTTTAAATTCGACGCTGTGCCCCGGTTTCTTAACAGGTTCCTTGCGTGCGGCAGGCGGAGAGATGCCCTCTCTGGTGTCTATTGCTTTGCTCCCCAGAAGGACGAGAGAGAGAGAGAGAAAAAAAAATATTTGGGGAGGAGAGAGAAAGAGAGAAAAAAAAGACTCAGAGCTGCCCCCCTCGCCTTTTTTTGTGTGCTGGCAGCTTCCAAGAAAAGACACACACGCACGTGCGCACACATAAGTGGGAGGGCCGAGAGTTCTCTCAAAGCAGTGGTGGTGTGTGTGCCAAGATGTCTCAGTCACACCAAGTAGGTTCGCAGGCACCAGCCCACCGAAAGCCATCGAGACACACTTGCATTAGGTATTTAAAGCGGAGACCTGCGCTGTAAAAGTACTTGAGCAAAGGAAGGAAAAATGCTCGCGCCGTATTAATGACCTGCATATTTCTCTTGCTCGTTCATTCGACTAGGCAAATGTTCCACAAATATTCCACATTTTTCATTTATTAGAGGGCGAAGCTGAACAAACGTTTCTCTGAGAATTAAAATGAATAAATGACCTGTTGGTCGATTGGCCATCCACACAAACTAACTGGGAGCAATTGTTTAAAGGAAGCAAACGTTGGGCTGTGTTTGTTAACCTTCTGGGCCTCATCAGCAGTGTCACTTGACCACTGGATAAGGGATCTTGACGAAAGGGAGGCCCGTATTGAGGGCCAATCGTGACTCCAGCACGCTGATATTACATCAAGTCCTTGTGTGCGTGTGGACGGTGTTGGGAGCGAGAGCGAGTCGTGTCGCAGTTAACGAAAAAGATCACGCAGTGGAACGAAGAAAAACAACGCCGGAGTACGACGAAATACTTGTATTTAATAACGTATTGATGACCACCCCTGTTGTGTCCTCGATAATGGCCACGGTCTGGAAAGGCTGAGGCACGGTGGGCACGGGTTACACAAATATTGACAGTTTACCAGATGTTATTGGTGTGATAATGTGATAAAAAATATCATTGCTAAGCCTAATGGTTACATTTGTTTGATCAACAGTTGCTCAATAAATATATGCTATTGCGATAATGTGATACATTCTCTCTCTGTGCAGTAAACACAGCGCCTCAATCTCCTGGAAGCCAGGGCATTTTAACCATCTCCATAAAAGGTTTCCTTTGTGTTTTTTTTACTTACATGGTAACGTTGTGTAACAGCAGCCAACAGCTTGAGCCGGTGATTTTTCAGCTCTGGTCACTCAGTTCGTAGGAATATTTTTGTTCCAAAATAAGCATATTTTCTCCTTATCGATATTAAACAAAGCACTAATTTGGGAATGTATTCACTTCTAGATTTAAAGCTTTCGTGACAGCTAGGATCCATACTCTTTGGTTCTATTGGGTAAAGTCACGTGACTTTACCCAATAGAACCAAAGAGTATGTATTCACTGTTGATATTATTGCATACACACACAGATTGTGCCGACACTATTATTATTTACAAGTGTGGTATTTCCTCTTTATTTTGTTCAGAAATAAAGACAATAAAATACAGAGTGAATCTGTCACAACACAAAACATCTGCTTTATATTTGATGCGGAAGGGGTGTTTTTTGTCTGCAGAAAAGTTTTTTTCTCAGCAGATGTTTGAATTTATCAAACTGCCTCGGCGTAATTTTCTGTGACACGTAGATTATTGTTTTTTTATACACAGTGATGAAAGGCACATGCTAAAGCATGGATCATGTGCTCTCTTTCCCTTGCAGGTTCGTGGCGCTTCAGTCTGTGGCACATCTCATTCCTGCATCGCCTGATCATGTGCAACAGGATCACAATCCATGTGGAAGCACTCGGTGTGACGTTCAACATTCACATGCAGGCATAACGACTACTTTTAGAGTTCGTGTTTTGTCATGTGTATACATTACATCTATATTAACAGGAAAACGACTTTATATTATGAATTCACAATGTATTATACCAACATGGCCTATACCTCGACTAGACTATGCCCAATTGCCATGTGAAACAGTGCTGTGGAATTATTGCAGTTATTCAATTGTAGGCAGTGCCGTGTAGTGTCTACTGAACTGTGATCGCATCCCCAGTAACCTCGATTCGATCCCTGGCAATTCTTATCTGATCCTGCCATCAAGTCTCCTCAAAGCCAATTGAGTCAAAAGTAATAAGGAGTATCTTGGGGTGCAAGCCAGAATCAAAAGACTCATCACATTCATCATTAACCCTGTCTGACAACAGAAAAATAGTAAGTTGACATTTTCGGCAATGGAACTTCTACATAATGGGGAGATTGGTTAATTATTGCTCTAGATTTTACTGAACACTGTGGACCCCTTATAAAACTGGGATATGTTAAGTTAATAAATAAACATATTCAACTAATAAAGATGTGCATCTACAGCCCTTTGTCATTCCACTTCTAGATGAGGGCCTCTTAATGCCGTGCTGGTTTTGGGAGTTATTTGAGCACACTTAACTTTTTCACAGATCAAACCCAGACATATTTCTTCATCAGCCGAGATCAAACACTGTGCAGTTCTACGCTTATGAAGTTCAACAAAATTCCACCATATCTAAGTGTAATGAGAGAGCGCCACCTGGGGGGGGGGGGTTACAGGGGACATCTGCAATATTCGGGAACCATCTAGAGGGTTCCACGAGGGGGCATGGCCGTAGGCGGAGCTTAGCTCCGCCGGGGGGCATATAAGCGGAGGCAGGAGAGGACTCCTGCCTCCGCTGGAGTCCTCTCCAGCGGAAGCAGGACTTCATCGCCGTGGCCAACGACCACGTGGCGAGCCTCCAGCGAAGCCGTCTCTCCTCCGGGTACACCGCCAGCCAGCGGCGTGGACAGAGAGAGAGAGGGAGACGTACCACAGCAGCGGACGAGGGAGTGAGAGAACTACCCAGAGAGAGAGAGAGAGCGCGGAGCTGTGCAGACATTCTGTTGAATAAAAGACACCAGTCCAGAGTCGTCGTGGAAGTCGTTTATTACATTGGTGTCAGAAGTGGGATACGGCTACCGCGGAGGGTCCGGCGTCACGGACCCATTCTAAAACGCCTCGATTATGCTGATGGTCCCATTTGTCTTCGCTTTGTTATTCGCCTTTTAACGCCGGCTCGTACAATTCATGTTGCTTGTGTTTTACACACCCTTGTTGTTGCCGCGGGGTCTTTTATTGTGTCTCTCCATTACTCGTGCAAATTCGTTCTTAGCTGGGACGGCTAGGTTTTTTCATCATGGGGGGGGGGGGTGATGTAATAAGAGAGTGCCACCTTGGGGGTTACAGGGGACATCTGCATGGCCACTGCTGGGTAACCGGTATCCAATCTGGCGTAGGGATTCAATCTAGGCCAAAGGTAACGGGCGGAGCTACGGGGAATATTCGGGAACCATCTAGAAGGTTCCACGAAGGTCGTGGCCGTAGGCGGAGCTTAGCTCCGCTGGGGGGCATATAATGGGAGGCAGGAGAGGACTCGGGGTCGGTGTGGGAAGCCTCGGGTCTGGACTGCATCGCCGCTCTACCTCTCCTAGCCAACGACCACGTGGTGAACCTCCTGCGAAGCCGTCTCTCTTCCGGGCATGCCGCCAGCCAGCGGTGTGGATGGAGAGGGAGAGAGTGAGAGGGAGACGTACCACAGCAGCGGACGAGCGAGCGAGAGAACTACCCAGAGAGAGAGAGAGAGAGTGCAGAGCTGTGCAGACATTCTGTTGAATAAAAGACACCAGTCCAGAGTCGTCGTGGAAGTCGTTTATTACATAAGTACAAATAAAATCCTGCCACCTGACCACAGATTCCAGTGACCGGACTCCCCGGGTCTAACCTGGCCAGGTGGCAACCCTATTCAACAAGCTGGCTAGTGGGTGTTGATGATGATGAAGAACATAGATGTAGGAGCATAGTAGAGTACAATCGATGTTCTGCTCTGCCCTATACTACTCGTAACATAGCCCTGCTGCAGGCTACAAGACCTGTCTTGTGCAAGGTGGTCACTCAACCAAGCACTATCCAGACTCAACTCTGATTAGCTGACGACATCTCACGAGATGATGCACATTCTGGGTCATCTAGTCATAGCGTGCAGGTTTTAATAGGTACAGTACTCACAGTAGATACCGTTACAGCATAAGATAGCAGATTAAGAGTACATCAGAGTAAATACATTGTCTGAAAATGAATATACCAAAAATAACGTTGAATAGTTTTATTGTTATTCGAGATACTGACATAAATTTGATATGAATACATGTAATAGATGTATACGTTTTAGTTTATTTATATTCACGAATTAATATATTTCTACATGTCCATCATTCACTATAATCGATCTAATTCGGTAGCATCAACAATACGATGTTTAAGTTCTTCAAGGTCCCTTGGTTTGCTAGTGTAAGACTTCCCGGAGATAAAAAAAAATATGGTTTTAAGTCTGGTAACCGGCGGACTTGTCATTATATGAGAAAATGTGAATCACAACAAAATAAAACGTAAAGGTCTAATGAATATATTAATTTGAAATTTATGTCAGTATCTCGAAAAAAAATTCAAAAATATTAAACTTTATTTTTGGTATATTCATTTTCGGACACCCTATATAATTGTGCATGAAATGAATGAGATGCGTAACAAAGATTTCACTTTCCCCTTTCATCTAAGACAACTCGTTGAGTTAAAAAGATCTCGTAGTTTTATTGGCAAGACGACGTGGAATTTCTTGAAGATGGTGAACCAATCGATGGGAGACACCTGGTTCACCATCACCCACTTGTTATCCTGCCAGCAGTCTGCACAATGGCAAGGGAAAATAAAGTTAGTACACATATTCAATATAGATGTAGACTATTAGATGGTGTGATCAATATTTTCCGACATGTAGACCTCCAAGTGATAGTTTTACATACAGTACCGTACGCACAATACATAGAAATAGTTATTGTGGATAATTTGGAACTGTTGCTATTACGACCTGTGACAACAATACAGAATGCTTAGGCAAAGTAAACTGCCCCGTAATAATGTAAACCATATGTAGCCCAAATACATAGCTATACATGTAAGTTGTAATAACATAGACCGATTTTAAAATAAATAAATATTTCTTGGGTGATCTTAAGAGCAATACTTCAAAATATGTATATGAATAACCAATACATGGGACGAGTGTTTATTCCTGAATATATTTTAAAGGATATATATTTTTAATCATTACAACGTTTATCATTAAATTAAAACCCCAAACTAAATTATATGAACGTAATTTAAAATTGTATCTGCATCTTCCTGTGTGTTTGGCATGACAATCACCTGGACATGAGACTCGTAGGTTTCAAAGTGCATTTACTTGTGTTTTTTTCGAAGGGTGGTATGATAGCAAATAATTTACATCAAAATACATCCTTGAGTGACTTTGGTGCTGATAAAAGCAAACATTCAATAAGTACATGAACAGTCCCTTATTTTTGAGGCAGGTAAAACAACTTGTGTTACGTATCGGGACAACTCTCACAATGTATCAAACACTCATCACGGTGGGGCTGGACAATAAAAGCCCACTAAATAGAACCTGAGCAATAGCTGAACAGCCAAATGAAGTTGCTTTCCAGCAACGTTGGTGTCAGAGGTCAGCAGCACTGGTGGGACCTGAGGGCAAGAGATTTCCATGCAAAGTTTTGCTGAACATTCAACAGTGGCTTAGGCCCTATAGTGCACGGCGTGTGGGCCCAGGGATCTACATCTGCTCACAGGTCTACAACATGCACTTCGCCAGCCTTGGACGTCCTTACTCAACTCACAACAAAATTCAGCTCTACATTTTTCACCCTCTGTTTTGGATTTTCTATGGGTTGCTATTTCGAAACAATATTTGGTTATTTGATTTTCTAAAACACAAAAAATACAGATTTTGGGATTGCTTTAATATTGCAAATAATGCCTTGCAAGCTCAGCAGATTCTCATCTGGTTAAAAAAAAAACATAAATCCTTCTGTACAGACACTCAGGCATACTTCTCGGTTCTGGAGTGATGATGGACTGCTGGTCTGCACGCCACAGACTCAATCCAAACAAGTCTAGTATTGAAATCAGCAGGGTGACAAAGTTTGAGAGGCCCTGTGTTAACAGCAACAACACAGTCACGGTGTTGAGTGTGATGGATGAAGTGAAGATTATGTAATGTGTGCAGATGCACCGCATGAACTTAGAAAAAGTAATGGAGCACGGTCACATCTGGATTGAATTAAAATATTTTCAGGACATTGGAGTTGTGCAGTGTAAAACAGCTGCCTGTACACACAAGCATGTCCCTTTTTCTCCATGTACCCTGTCCATCTGGGTAAGCCCAAATTTTCATCTACTTTTTGAAACATGTCACCTTAAAATGGAGTGTAGTCATTCGATTAGCATTCGTAAGTATTTATTTTATTCATTTGTATGATTTATGTAGAATGCCAGTGGCCTGAATTAAAATTGATCCATTACATTATTGCTCTTGAAAATGTAGTGTTCTGGCTATCATATAAAAGCTATCTTGCTAAAACTGTAACACAGAATCAGAATTTTTATTTCAGCTGGAGGAATCCGATTAACTCTGATGCCCTTTTACACTAGATGACCAGTAGGGACGGGTCAGAAAGTTACAATAACAATACAAAAAGACAAAAGTTGTGCAAAACAGAGAAAAGGCAGGCAGGTCACTAAAAAAAAGAATCTAAATAACTTTCACATACATACAAGGTTCTTCCAAAACGTTGGTGCTGCAACGGCAAAAGCTTTTTCACCTATTCCAATGATTGTTCTCGAGATATTTTAAAAGAAATTAGATGGACGTCTTAGGTTTCTTCGGGTTGACAATGGGATTAATGAATTAGATTTTCCCAATAAGGATTTTATGGATGAGCAGGGACCAATATAGGGTACTTTTACAAAAATATTTGTAAAATATGTATCTGCATTCAGTAAATGACGTCACGTAAGTTTTATTAATGTAAACAACTGATACGTATATTTTCAAATAACAACTTTCTGAACGCTGGGCACCATCACACATACGGTACTTTATATTCGCGGTTCTTTCGGTAAAGACACGTAGATCGAAAAGAAAAATCAAAATTAAAAGCAAAAGAAAAATCAAAATTAAAAGCAAAAGAAAAATCAAAATTAAAAGCAAAAAAACCCCAAGACGTTTCGATTGCATCTGTGCCCCACCCCCCTCTCCCTCCCCCTGTCTCTCGCGTAGCCACTCACTCTGGAGCCCCTTGTAAGCAGCTGCATTTGGAGGCTTGTCCACCCCCCCCCCCCTCTTTTCTCTCCACCTGAAGAAGGCCGCTTGTGTTGCGATCGAAACGTCGTGGGTTTTTTGGCTTTTAATTTCGATTTTTGTTTTCTATCTACGTGACTTTACCGAAAGAACCAAGAATATGAATTCGTGCAGTCACGAAAGTTTTAAGTCTACACAGACTTTGTTTAATTTAGGTCAAATAGTATTTAACTATAATAATAACTATTTTGTTATGATTTACGAGCCTTTGTCAATCCACTGCCGGATGAAAACCTCCCCACACTTTTGGTCACTAATGTTGCCGAACAACGAACACATTTGCTTGCATTTTGGTCATTACAAACACTTTACGGCAGCACAAAGGTTATTGTGGCGACGCCACGTGGCATTGTTGAAGCGGCGAGTTATGAATTGTTGCTCTTTTAATAAACAAACGCAACGTGGATTCATCACGCAATTGCCTTTTTATTACACGCTTTCTTTCAACTCACTCGTTGTATCCTCAAATGTTGTAACTCAATTTTAACCCACTTCCCAATGTGGTATCGACTGCAAACTTGGTATACTGATGTCATACTGATGACAATACTATATGATATCATAAAAAAATATTTTGTTCAACATTCTATTGTGTATGTTATGTTTCGGCTTGGGTCTAATTGTCCACGGTCAACTGACGTTGGCTGTAAATGACCACGGTCCCCTTACGTTATGGCAAGCTTCGGGGCCACTTCCTGGAGTCGTGGAGTTCTGCCATTACTAGTACATTTCATAAAAGCGTGTTTAAAAAAATAAATGTTTTTTATGTATTAATTATTTTTTTAAACACAGCCACGTAAACCATTGGGGGTGTTTATAGAACGATCGTTGGCGTGAGCTTCAGTCGAAAGCGCGCTCCGCACTTCTCAAGCCGGCCAGCAGGTGGCAGTGTGGCTTTTGCATCCCGTCAGGCGCAGTCACCCTGAACTCAGCTCAGCCGTGAGTCCCACTCCTCTCACAATCACCGCCCCCCCAGGGCCACAAGAGTCTCTCTCTATCTCTCTCGTGGAGCGCAGCCTTCGGCACGGATAACGTACGAAAGAATCGCCGAGTGTGTGCCGGAGACGTCGGTGGCATGTTTGCGGCGACGCTTGCATTACGAGCAGGCGTGGGCATGTGATATCTCTTGTGTATTGTGGCCTTG